AATCATTTTTATATTAATATTTTATATTTTAATATTAAATTTAAATAAAAAATAATTTTGTATTTGTTAATCAGTGGTTCAATCTTAGCGGGCTCAAGCTCTAATACTCAAGTCAAATCTAAAAAATCATTTTCTTAATCCCACTTATGAGTTTAAAAATTCTACCATAATATATAAAAAATATACTCATTAAAAAATTAAAAAAAAACTTATATAAAAAATAATGACACGTGTAACAAATATTTTAATTAGACCTGATAATTTTAAATACGATGTAGTGACATGATATAAAAATTATATGAATAAATAATATAAAGATAACATGACTTAAAATTTTAAAAAATCATAAATAAATTTAATATTAAAAAATTATATTTTTATTTTAATAGTAATATGAATTATGATATGTTATTTTCATGTAAAATATTATACGAATATAATATTTTATATAATACATTAATATAAATTATTAGATCTAATTTGAATATCGTTCAAGGAATTTAATAACTCTATTAATGGTGACTAACTCCACTATTCATACCTAATTAATTGCACGTGCAATATTATATCATGTCTACCATTCATTTATATTGCACTTTCCTTTCAAAGTTATACCTACTTTGATATAAGAAATAATGACCATTAAATTGTGTTTTGGAATTTTATACATATAGAGGTATTTTATATCTAGGGAGCAAGCTAGGGGGCCAGCAGCGGCCACAACCCTAAAAGTCTATTGCACCTCTTATGTAATAGTGTCGGAGCCTATCCAAATATTACATTAGCCCCTTCTTTCCCTTTAAAATTACCGTCCGACTTCTCTTTTACCTAATTCCTACCTTCATCGCTGTTAAAATCTACAGTACAGTTGCTACAATTGTTCTCAATTTCCATCCTCTCATGATTTTTTTTCCCAATTCCACACCTTGCCGTCCATTTTCTAAAAGGACGGTACAATAATCAAATAGCCACTTTTGTATGCTTTGTCCCGTATTCCAAGTTCAACTATCTTGTATTAATTGTGGTCCAAAATTTTTTGGATGAACCAAATGTGATAAGAAGATGGTCAAAATTCATGAAATGAAAAATAAAATGGGAGGTAATGGGAATTTGTCTCAGGAAATGATGGCCATCAAACCCATTGGACAGGATAAGATTATTAGCATTATGGTAGCTCATGGACATGTCTCCTAAGATTCTGCCCCACAAGGGTTTGGTTAAACAGGTGTTTTGAAAAACCAAATTGAGTTATTCCTCCTTGCATTGATGCAACTCAATATGTTTAACATGATTTCAAGGCCTCTATTTATATATATAAATATATATATAATAGAATTTTTGAATTCCACACATTGGCAGCTTCAAATATTTGTACTTTTTTTAAAAAAATATAATGACACAATTAGTTGAATGAACATGTTAAATGTGCCGATTACTTTAACTTACATTTAAATTTATAATTTAAAATACGACATAATGATACGATATAAAAATGATTAAAAAATACGAAGATGATACAATTAAAATTTTTAAAAAAATTATATATAAATTTAACAAAATAAAAATGAATTTTATGTTTTATATGTCAACATGAATTATAATATATACTTTTATATGACATGAATAAATAAATTATCAAATTTATCTCTACATAAAACTTAAAAATCAAGTATATATTAAACTTATCTAATAATGCAACCCATATTTATCTCTTTCTTTAGTTATGGGAACCAATTGCTCTTAGATAACTAGATCATGTGCCTAGAGTCTCACAAGCACTAGTGAATCCATGATTTTTGTTATGGTTCACACCAACTACAGTTTGATGATTGGGTTTGATAAGATTGGGGTGTTATCAAAATGAAGACTAGACTAAAGCAATAAGTCTAAATTTGCTTAGGATTCAATGAAATTGCCAAAGAATGGACCCCAATTATCTCTAAACTTCAGGTGGGACTGTCTCCCAGGACGTTGGTTAGTCCAATCCATAGCTCCAAATATCACCCAAACATGTCAAAATTTGCCATTCTTCATAGTTTTGAATTGCTAGATTAATGGAAATTGAGTAGCTAGCTTATATGTGGCAGTTCCTTCTTGAACTCCTTGTTTTGCCCCCTCAGAAAATTGCTAGCTAGGTTCTATTTGTTATAGCTGCTATGACCCTTTATTATTTCCATTAAACAAAATTAAAAAAAATCCCAATATGTTTGGATATATCACATAAATTATGCCATTAATACTCAATTTCTTACATTTTTCATAAGTTTCACTTTTCAACTTTACAAAATATTAATAGAATTCACTACCTCCATATAAGGTTTGCTATTTAACATATATATACAAGAATCATTATCCTTTTCATTTTGGGTTAATATGTGGTTTAGCTTCTAAATTATAATACTTTTTATGATTTGTTATCTATAAAAAAATTTAGGATTTGATATTCGAATTTTGTTTTTGTCAAGCATTTTGCTATACACACTAATTTTGTTACCATTGAATTGATATATGGTAAAAAAATTAATCAATAATATCATGACATATGGCACATTTTTATTGATTAATATTTACAATGTCAATTTTTGATTAACGGTGTTAATCAATGTTACAAAATACTTGATAAAAATAAATTTTGGATACCTAATTATGATTTGTTTATAAGTATCAAATCATTAAAAGTAGTATAGTTCAAAAGTCAAATTACACATTAAATCTTTTATTTTCAATGTCATTTAATTTTTGAAAGTTAGGAGTTGAGAGGAAAATAAATAATTTTTTTTTTTAATTTTCAACTTTTCGCATCTGTATCTAAAATTGACAACCAAATCCATTTGATTCTTGAAAGCAATTAATTAAACAGGACTTTTCTCTGTTGAATTTCAATCAATTATCTTTGTGAAAGCTGCTTCTAACTCCCCTTAATGAAAGGGAGATCATAGAGACAATATTTCTTTCTTTTTCAACAGCAAAGCCAAGGCCACTCGGAAAAATCAATGTCAAGTTTCATGAAGTAACCACCTCTTTTCTTTGATTTAACATGCAAAAAACACTTGACCAAGCTGATTTGGCAACTTTTTTTTTTTTTTTTGATGAGCCATGATCCTCAGATTGATGCAGAATCTTGGTTTGCCATCTGTTAACCCATGACAACTTCAGTCATTGAACAACAGCCTTCCTTTTATCAGTTTCTGCCATTCGATTGCATGTTTGCCTTAGCCAAAACAGTGCATGAAAGCTCTGATCATTTGATGTATTTGAATATTACATCAAAGCTAAAACAGTTGCTACTCGTGAAATGTGAGTTCAATCATTCCTTGCGACTGTAACCTGCGGCCATTTTTGTCCATTGCTTGGGCCACCTCAATTTGTATTGAAAGTCTTGAAAGCAACCTTGCACGCCTCAGGATTTTGGGTCTTGTGTGTTAAGCTTGAACCAGATTTCCTTTGTTGGACTTTGGGCCTTGACAGGTGATTTTGTGTTACCCAACATGGATATATTTTGAGAGGATATATTTTGCACCCCAATTTCTTCTCAACATACTTCAAAAATTATATTATAAATTTAATTTTTAATAAAATTACTTAAATACCTATTAATTGATTATTTATTTGTCTTTCACACCCCTTCCAAAAATAGGTTTTCGAAAACTCTTAAAGATTTTTAAATATTCATTTTCAAAAAACTTTTAAAAATCTATCTTTAAAAGTTTTGAATTGCACTGAATATATTAACATAAGATCTTATGAAATTAAATATAAAATCAAATAAAAAAGTAAAAAATAATAAACTATTTATCTTTTATTTTATATTTTTAACTTCAAATGAGTGAAATTTTTCTTTAAATTTGATTTGATTGAACTTAAAATTCTTTAAAATATTTGGTTGACAAGAGAAAGAGGAGATGTGGCGTAAGAGAAAGGAGGATAGGATGTTTGGATTTTTTGATAAATTTGTAATTTAGGTTTAAGATGTGTTAAGAGTAAAAATTTGAATGTTAAGAGTAAGGGGTGTGTAGAGTAATTGTTTGGGTGTAAATAGCAACACTCATATATTTTTCAATGGACTTTTTGTATTAAAAAAAAATTAAGGTAAAGGAATTTTAGCATCAAAGCATATTTGCAAATTATTTATACAAGATTTATAGATCAATCATTGAAAGAGATTATTAGTAATAAAAATTAAATATGATAATTTATATATTCGTATCATGTAAAATATTTAAATTCATATATTTGTATCGTATTTTATATAAAAATTATATATTATAATTTATGTCAATATAAAAATATTAAATATATTTTTTGAATTTTGTTCAACTCATATATAGTTATTATTAAAATTTAAAATTTTTTTTTTTCATATCATATTTTAAATTACCAAATTTAACAAAAATTGAACCTAAATCTTACTATCTTTACAAAATTCTGACTTTGAATCTCACTTATCTCCTTCTCACCCTTGTAAAAATATACTCATTAAAAATTGTTTTGGGTGCATCACGGTAACTCAGTGTCCTTTTTAACATTTACTATTGAGGTTTATTATGTATAAGTAAATCACTTGTAGTCTGATTTAGAAAAAAAAAAAAAGTTAACATGTATATAAAATCTATCAATTATCTGGTGATTTATTAATAAAATATTAAAAATTTAATTTTAATAAATTAAAGTTTAAATTCTAACTGCTTACATAAAAAAAAATTTTAAGTTTCCTATGATTTCATGTCAAATTGAAGAGTGAAACTTTAAGAATGTAAAAGAGATTTTCTTAAACTTAGCTAACTTGCATTTTATTTTTTATTAAAATCATTTTAAATGCATATTTTATGGTCATTATTTTTTAAAATTATTAAATATGTTATATTTTATTTGATTAAAAAAATTAAAAAAATTTATTTACTCTTAATTTTTTTAAAAATAAATTTTTAATAATAAAATAATAATGATAATAATGATAGTAGCCGCTACTCACAAAAAGAGATGCCTTACAACGCAAACTTTTGAGTTGCCTCATCGTTTTATAAGAGTTATAGCATGTCACTTGTTGGTTGTAAATCTTTCTATAACGGCTGTTAACGACCTGTAACAATTCCCATTTCCGCACCAAATTAAAAAAAAAATCAAAATTTAAATTTTCTTCACTGCTTCAAAACCTTAATTTTAATTATACATAGCAATATTTAGTTATTTATAATCCATAAGCTAATGGGTTGCTCTTCTTCTCTTCCAGGTAGAATCCCTATACAATGGTTTTTAGTTTCTAGGGTTTTACTCATTCATTTCTTTGGTTTTGAGCTGAAAAGATGTTGAATTTGATTGCTTAATTGTGGGTTGTTTTTGGTAGCTGGTGCCTGGTGATTTAGTTAGGGTTTTTGCTAGTTAGCATTGGATGTTTTTGAAAGGATTGGAATTTGGTTATCCTTTTATTAGTAGTTGTTAAAATTTTTTTTTTTGGGTGGGTTTTTTTATTGGTCCCAGATAGGAGTTCTGGGCAATTAAGCGGACTCAACAATACAGAGAATTCTGGAGTTCCTGATGCGAAAAATCTACGCGTAAAGGTATATAATTAGCTCTTTATCCATAATTTTACTGGACTTTCTTTGTTTAATTTTTGGTCATTTGAGATACTGACGTGGTTGAGGGATTGAGTTGAAAGGCTTAGGAAGCGGCATTTTACTTTTACTGCAGTATTTTACTTCATTTCACCGGCTTGATTTCTGCTATGTTAGAAGTTAGACCCATCTTGAAAATGAGCTGATATTCATGTTGGTTCGCTTAAGATCTCTGGTTGTTATAAATTATATAAATGATGGACTTTTTAAAGGTTTTGCTATTGGACAAGGGTGAGCCAAACTCAGTTCTTGTAAGCTTATAAAAGTATTGTCATTTGAACATGTTAACTTTGTTGAACAATAATCAAATTTGGTTTGGTGGTATAATTTGGTTCTGTGGCTCTGTTGTTTGGGGTTTCATAAGTGGCATCTTGGTTTGTTCAGAGTCAATATGGGATAATGGTTATGCCCTTTTGATCCTTTCTTTCTAAGATGGGATAAAAGGACTCAATATTTCATATTCAGTTCATTAACTAGGGAGCATTCTGTAGCTGCACATTTCAGATTATAATTTGGGTGCATTTAAGAAATTTCAGATCCTAATCATTTTAAATGCAAATCTTTTAGCACATTTTTACAGTACTTTATAAGCATGTTTGGTGACTCCTTGTATTTAGCACTTAATTTTCAAAATATCATTTAAAAGATTAACTAATATATCCTTAGTTTTGCATGCTGAAAACTGGATCTAATGATGTTATGTCATTTTAAAATACTATTTCTTTAATATACATTGATGACTACAATCATGATCTTCTTTTAATATATTGTAATTAGTCACTACTTAGATTTCGACCTATACCTGACCCTATCTAAAACCCTATCATGCCCATCCATTCCCTTGCAACCTCAATCTCCATTCTTCATCGCGATTGCACCTCCACCTCGCCATATTCAGCCTATATGCTTTTTCATGTGCATTAATTAACATTTTCAAAGTATGTTTGTCTTTACCATATCTTGGTTTGCTCGAAATTACTATACATGCTTGCTTTAACTCATCTTTCCGTAAAAATATTTGGAAGTTTCTATAAGTTTAAAGCTTCCATTCTAAACATATCTTTAATAATTGTTTCTACATCATTAAAGATTTCTTATGAAGCACCTAAAAATTATTTTCCGTTTTGTTTTTTTAATTTTTTTCTGCATTTAAGGGTTTTCAGTCATACGGTGCTCAGTAACTCCATGATGGTTGCATTTCACACCATAGGAGATTGGTACCATTTACATCATAGGGCCTTGTACATTTGAATTCCTTTGTTTCATTAAACAAAGAAAAGGCAGGGTGACAATCCATTGTGGGGAACCTTTATAAAACTTAAGTCTTTAATTCAACACTTAGAACTTAAAAGATGTGCTGTTTGCTGTGCCTTTTATATGAAGGAATGAAGCTGCAATACATTACTTTCTGTGCAGATGATAAACTAGTCTAAGATACACACTTCATGTGAATATAGTTAGTAATATAACAATTATGAACTAAATATGCCATAAAGTGTTCAATAAGGTGACACTCTTCTAATACTTCTTGTGTAAGTCTTCAAATTCATAGGCTACCTTCTTTTGATAATAAAGGTGGTACCAAGCTTAGCTGAGGACTCTAAGTTGGCTCTTGATTGTATCATTAGGAATGTAATTGAAGAAAATATGAACATTTGGAGCATTGGAATTATCTTGGTTGTAGTAACTAATAAGATGAATATATGATAAAAATCTATTGAGAAAGGAGATGATTGTTTTCACCTTTCTTTTTATCACACTCGATTTGCTGGTATTTCCCTTTTTAACAATGCAACTGAATTTTCAATATCTTTTTGCCTTGTGCAGCTGGTCTTGTTAGGTGATTCTGGAGTTGGAAAAAGTTGTATTGTTCTTCGCTTTGTTCGTGGCAAGTTTGACCCTACGTCTAAGGTACGGAGTATTCTCTTAATTCACCAACTCATAACATGGCCCATCTGTCTTTCTTTTTTAGCTACATTTTGTCCAACCATGCTTAATCTGAATGATATTCGTGTCTTCTTCTCTCTTTAGTGGTTAAAAGGTTATACTATGATGATATTTCTCTGATTTGTTAACCTTTTATCATTTCAGGTAACTATCGGAGCTTCATTCTTGTCACAGACAATAGCTTTGCAAGATTCAACTACTGTTAAGTTTGAAATATGGGACACAGCTGGACAAGAGAGGTATGGTTCTCAAATACCTTGTAGATATTCTAGTTTGTGTTATCACTTCATAAGTAAAGTGCTTCATATTGTGATCCTTTGCCCTCACTTCTTTTGCATTATAAGTGAGATTATAATTTAGTTTATGCTATCCATTTTTCTTTTCTATGAGCTCTCCTTTTGCAGGAAAGAGTTAAAATGTTTACTTTATCTCTCTCAGGTATGCTGCATTGGCACCTCTGTACTACCGAGGAGCTGGAGTTGCAGTGATTGTGTATGACATAACTAGCCCAGAGTCATTCACCAAAGCACAATATTGGGTTAAGGTAGTTTCTGAGGATTACAATAGTGTTTTTGTTTTTGTTTTTTGTTTTGGTTTTTTAAGAGAGAGAGAGAGGAGGAGAGTGGGAGGGGAAGGGGGTTTAAGGGGGTAGGGCTGCTGCTGTTCGTTCTGTTCTTTTAATTCGTATTTGTTAAGTTTACTATTACTTTCTTGCGTTTAAGAATGTTAAAAATGTGGCTGAGGTGGTAATACTTCAAACATTTTTGTACAGTTTCACATAAAAATAAGCTTTTAAATAGTTCTGGATTACTATTCTTTGTGGGATAAACAGATTGCATGGGAGATCTAAGTTTGAGGTTGTGAATGTCTCTAAAAGAGTCTTTGGAGAAACTATTCCAATTTTCCATTATTGGGGTGTGCCATATTTTAGTATTTAATAATTGCATGTCCTGTCTGCTATAGTGCAAACAGCCAACAAGTTAATTTGTGTTTCTTCCACCCTCGTTTTACTTCTGTTTCTTGTTTTCTGGAATTTGGGTGGTTTGGGGGAGGGGTGTGGTTTTATTCATAGGAGTATGGGGAGAAGGGAATAGGGTTGTATTCTTAGTCAAAGCCACTGTGTTGGAGGGAAAAATCATCATTCATGATGTTAATGCTGCTGGCTAATCAGATGGACTACTTGCTTCCCTCCGGAGAGCATGAACTTTCATTCAGTTCTGAATGGGCCATAAGTCACAACCCAATTTTCTGCTCAGCACACATTGGCATATTTTGTTGCTTCATTGGCTAGTTGCATTATGTTATTGATACAGCTTTAGGATGCCCTTTCTTTTATGAAATTTCTTTTTTCTATTAGTGATAGTCATGATTATTGCTTCAAGTTTACTGGTTGTTGTTTCCTCGCAATGGGTATCCAAAACGACCTTGGTTTTCTTCATAAGACCCATTAATTTCTACACCACTCCCCCCTCTTTTTGGTTTTCTTTGTTCCTTCTTCTTGGTCTTCTTTTTTGAAAGCCTTAAAGTTGCTTAAAAAACATTTTATGGCATTAAGTTTTCAATTTTGGTTCATATTCTGCTTATCTTAGAAGTTCAAAGGGAAAGGGCACTATTCTGCAAACCTCATTTGTCTCTCAAACTTTGTCAAAGCTCAAGAGTTTTTGTGCCAAAAATTGATGTATTTTAGCATCTGGCAGGAGCTACAAAAACATGGGAGCCCAGATATAGTGATGGCTTTGGTTGGTAATAAAGCTGATCTTCATGAAAATCGAGAAGTACCAGTTCAAGTTAGTGCCAAAATTGAATGAATGAAGATCCCTTTATGCATGCATAATTAATATTATCTTCTCACATGTGCTGTTTTATACTTGAAGGATGGCATTGACTATGCAGAGAAGAACGGGATGTTCTTTATTGAGACATCTGCCAAGACTGCAGATAATATAAATCAGTTGTTTGAGGTATTTCTTCTATATGTTTTATACAGCAATTAAATGCTTGACAATTAATGATTAATACTCTGTGCACTAGTATCAATTCTGGAAGTTTCATGGATGTGTGACAAGGTCAAGATTTTTATACCAATTACTAAAGATAACTTTAATGTGATCATATATGCTGTCTCCCTGGAAAGATTTTAGTTTATATGTTGAATAATTTACAAGTATTTTGATAGTTATTAAGTACCATTCCTCTTGCTGTCATATTTACAGTTAATGCTGATAGTATCAGAATGTCTCCAAAATCAGGTCTTGTTCCTAGTTTGTAATGGAAATTGCTTGAACTTAGCAGCATTTTAATATAAGATCACTACTACTACTGTACTTGATGTTAAAAAATGTTGTTTATGTCTCCACAATCTACGTAGCTCCATTTCACGGTTCATTTTATGTACCAGGAAACTTACCGAATCTTGTTTATCTTTCTAATTTATTCATTGTTATTGATAATGTCCATTCATGCTGATGGAGTGCTTTAGCCACCAATGCATTGTTTTCACATATTCAAGGCTTCTCCATGAATTGTGATTGAAGTTTTCTTATCTACTTGGCAGGAAATTGCAAAGCGACTTCCCCGCCCATCATAATCATGATTGTAGGAATGTCAGCCCTAATTAACTTTATAGATTTTAATGTTCTGAAACTGCATAGTTGTGATATCAAGTTTGTGAACAATAAGTATACGTGACTGTTTCATGTTTTCGTAATCTATGATGTAATCATGAGTCTGATTTAAAACTTTCAGTTGCCATTATCAGCACATAAATCTCCACATACTTGAGTGATTGGGTGTAATCATAAAGATTTTTTCTTAGAATAATGTCAAAGGGAACGCTATCACCATGTAGCAAAGTATCTAATGGTTATTGCTTTATTCCATGTTTCATTCATTTCACTCTCCTTTTGTTTCTTCTGAAACTTGGTTGGGTGGACAGCTTCAGGGTGCTATGTGCAGATTGTTGGACACTTCTCAAATGGCATCCCCTAACTTTTTCTATAGCATATTAGTGATTAAAATTTGAAACTTGATATACCTGGCTACTTCGGCAATATCTTGGCTGTTACATTACCAGTTTCTACCACTTGATTTAGCTACTCACATAATCATTCATGATATTCAGATAGAGGTATCAAATGGGTTGAACAGTTCATGACACGACACGGTTTGAAATGATATGATACGACCTGTTATTAAACAATTGAGCTGGATCAAGCACGAATATCGTGAATTACATCAGCAAAATTTTGAATATGAAATTATGGAGTTTAAATTTAGAATTGAAAGTGATAATATTCATAAAAATAAAAAATGTTTTGCTTCTTGTTTTATAATTCAAAATCATGTGTATAAAAGAACTCAAAAAACATATTGATTTTTTCATTAATTAATTATAACTTCTTAAAAAATTTATAATTAATTAATTATAACTCAATTATTAATACATGTATTTTTTAGCTCCAAAAATTGGAATTTTCTTACCTCCGATATAAAAAAACACAAATCACCTAAGCTAAAGGCCCAATAATCAAGATATGAGAAAGCCCAAGATGTACTTCCTTTGTTTCATGGACCTTGTGTTTTGGGCCTTATTAAACCCTAATTTACTTGCCCCTAATAAAATTCCTTTGGCTGATGCTTCTATTCTTCCTCTTACTCTAGACGACAAATCGAGTTGGGGATTTGGGAATTCGCGATTGGGATTTCGAAGTTGCCAAAGTTCGGGCCAAAGCTTAAAAGATGACCGATTACGAAGAAGCGCGGTATCAAGGAAACGGAGACAACCTCGAAAACAATTACGGCGGAGGTTCTTCTCCTCAGCCTCGTTCCGATGATCAAAACGATTCTAAATCTCAGGTTAGATCGCGAGAATTTTAGCTTAATTTCGTCTTTTCATATTTTTAATCGATTTTTGTTTTTTGTTTTAGTTTTTGTTAGGTGGAATTTTGAAGAAGTTTATATTAGTTTTAGTTATATTAGCTTAAATGTGTGATTTTAGTTTTAGACTGAACAATTACCTTAGAATTAGTGTTGAATCTTAGTCTTTTGTTCATATAAAATCAATTGTGATTTTACTTTATATCATTTGCTTTTTCTTTTTAGCTAACTATTTTAGAAGCAAATAGAAAATAGAAAAAAAAAAAAAAGCAGCAAGCTGGCTATTAATTGGAGCCCTGATTTTTTTTTAATAAATTTTTTGGGTTTTGATGGGAGCTTTTCAATCTAGGGCTCAAATTTTTCTTTGAATTAGGTTTTGTATCTCCAAATTTGGCTAGCTTGACAAATAGCCTTTTCAATTACATGTAGTACTAGGTTTTGTTCTAACCTAAACATTAGAAAATGAGGTATATTTTATTGGAGTAAAAGTTTTCATTTTAATACAAGTCGGGTTTTCTTTTTTAAAAAAAAAAATTTACAAAACATGGGTTTCTCAGATTTTAAATCTCATAGTTGTTTTTCGATTTTTTGGTTCCTGTTTTTATCCTTTTTTTTATCCAGTATAATTGTGGGGGAAGGGGGAATTAGAACCCGGCTAGGGAAACACGTAGCTACCATTGAGCCAAATGCTTGGGTCCCTTTTTTTTATCTCTATTTGTTGATGTTCATGCCTACTTCAGATCTTGAGTATGCACACATGTTTAGGTGCTCAATTATATTTTGCCTCACCAGAATTTGTCTAGTCTAACAAGTAGTCTTTTCAAACAAACTTTTACTGCTTAGTTTTGTTCCAAGCTATGTGAGAGTAAATAAATGAAGTCTAGCCTTGTAGGTTTATTTTTTCTAATAAGAAAAACGATTTTTCTTCCAAAATAACTTTCTTGAATGTGATTTTTATGTTTTTGCTTTGACATTTGGTTTTTTAGTTACATAAATTAAATTCAACTCTAACTACGTGCAGCATGGGTCTCGGGATTATGAGAGAGAGTCCTCTAGAAGTAGGGAAAGGGAGAGAGTGAAAGGGCATGACAAGGAAAGGGACAAGGACCGTGACCGCCATAGGGACAGGGACAGGGATAGGGATAGGGATAGAGACCGAGAAAAGGATCATGACCGGGAACGCCATCACAGAGATCGTCATAGGGATCGTAGTAGGGAACGCAGTGAGAGGAGGGATCGGGGAAGAGATAGGGATGATGATGATTATTACCGAAGTCGAGACTATGACAGGTAATTTAAGCTATACTATGAATCATTACTATCATTGCTCTTTTCTTCATGTTGCTAATCATTTTTTGTTAATGAGTTATATTTACTCAATGTCATTTACAGAAGAAGGGACAATGATAGAGACAGGGAGGACAGGCATAGCCGCCGTTCCCAATCCCAGTCAAGGGCTAGATCTAACCACAGATCAAAGTCAAGATCTCGTTCTCGCTCTCGCTCACGCTCAAAGAGGTAGATCATAAAGAACTTGATCATCAGTAAAAACAAGATAGTTTCAGCTATATATTCTGGTCTCTGTTACATTAACATCATTATTTTGCAGTAAAAGGATTAGTGGTTTTGACATGGCCCTTCCAGCTTCAGCAATGTTAGCTGCTGGTGCTGTGGTGGCTGCTGCTGCAGGTACATATGCCTTTCACAAAAAATTACCATTTTTATACTTTGATAACTGCTATTTTTGTTTTTGGATGATCTAGTGTGGAAAGTTCGTATCAAAATACTGGTCTGGTTTTGGTAAGCCGTATTTTTTCTTCTGCTTCATATATATTGCCTTTAAGTAGTGATCTTGTGGAAGGCCGCAATATTATTTAAAAATTTTTTACTTGGTGAAATAATTCTGGAACTAAAGGAGTTTTTGGTTTTGTCTTCTGTTTGGTGTTTGTTTGTTTGTTTTCTATGTCTGTCTTTGTTTTAAGAAGGCAATGGCGTGAGCCGACTTCTGTAGCTTTTATGTACAACGAGGAATCAATGCACCAGTTTTGATGGTATTGTACGTCTTCAACCGGCAACTATTGCCTGTTTTGGTAGTCTTGCTAAATATTTTCTCCAGAATTTGCATGCAATGAATTCTGTTTTCTATCTCTAAGACTGCAAGAAGTTTGCATATGCCATGGACATGAGGCACAAAAGTCCTTATGTTAGAAATGTTTCTTTGATTTATAATTATATCCTTTTATGTAATCTGAATTTCCTTTCAGGCCAGATTCCTGGGACTAGCCCAAGCTTACCTGGAGTGTTTCCAAACATGTTTCCTCTTGCAACTGGACAGGTATATATTTCTCTTGTGCACCTGATAGTTTTGAGCTTGCTGTGTGTGCTGTAACTTTGGTTAATTTTGGTTTAGTGCAGCCTTTTGGTGCTCTCCCTATTATGCCAGTTCAAGCAATGACTCAGCAGGTTGGAAGGATTATGCATTCAATGTAGTGCATACCTTTCTTTACATAATTTTTTCTTGTATTACAGAAATTTAGAGAATTTATGTTGTGATTTCAGGCTACTAGGCATGCTCGTCGGGTCTATGTTGGAGGACTTCCTCCTACTGCTAATGAACAGGTTCTACTCAACGCTATTGTAGCATTATTGTGGTTATGCTTGCAAATAAAGCCATACTTACCCTTAATATTATATTACAGTCAGTTGCGACCTTCTTCAGCCATGTCATGGCTGCAATTGGTGGAAACACTGCTGGTCCAGGTACACTTGGGGTTTTTTTATATATTACATGACTGACCTACCTACCTTATTATTATATTACATGACTGACCTACCTACCTTATTTTTCTTCTATAGTTGCTCATCCTTTTGTGTTATATATTCAGGTGATGCTGTTGTTAATGTGTACATAAACCATGAAAAGAAGTTTGCTTTTGTAGAGATGAGATCTGTTGAGGAGGCTAGTAATGCAATGGCTTTAGATGGGATTATCTTTGAGGTATTTTTATTTTGTTTTGAACCTTTATGCTGAAATCCTTTAATTACAATAAGTTGGGTTGACCTCTTTGCACTTTCAGGGAGCACCTGTGAAGGTGAGGAGACCTAGTGACTATAATCCGTCACTTGCTGCAACTCTTGGTCCAAGCCAGCCCACTCCTAATCTTAATCTAGCTGCTGTGGGTCTAACTCCAGGTTCTGCTGGTGGGCTTGAGGGTCCAGACCGCATTTTTGTTGGTGGGCTTCCCTATTACTTCACAGAAGCACAGATCAGGGAGCTATTGGAGTCTTTTGGGCCTCTTCGAGGTTTTGATCTAGTGAAAGATAGAGAAACAGGGAACTCAAAAGGCTATGCTTTTTGTGTTTATCAAGACCTGTCAGTTACAGATATAGCTTGTGCAGCTCTAAATGGAATTAAAATGGGTGATAAAACTCTCACTGTTAGGCGAGCAAACCAGGGTACTACCCAGCCTAAACCTGAGCAAGAGAGTATACTCCAGCATGCACAGCAGCAGATTGCTTTGCAGGTTAGATTAGAATATTATTGTTTTGTCAAAATCTTATGCCATCATATCCCTTGCAATTTAGGGCTGTTATTAGGTACGGTTTGTAGGCTAATTTGCTGGTACTTCTTTTGTTTTTCAGAGGCTCATTTTGCAACCACAGGGTGGGCCAACAAAGGTTGTGTGCTTGACTCAAGCACTTAATGTGGATGACCTCAGAGATGATGAGGAGTACGAAGACATTGTGGAGGACATGAGACAAGAGGGTGGAAAATATGGTAAAATTCTTCTTAAACAATCAGCTGCAGTTTTTTTGTCTGGCCCATTTTTTAACATGCAAAGTCTCTTATATATTTTTATTTCTTTGTTTTCTTTTGTGTTTATATCTCTGTTTTACAGCCCTTTCTTGTTCCACATTCCGCTTTAAAGAATCCAGCCTAACATACACAGACAGAAGACTTTCTAACCCTCTATCTATATTTACTTGATACTGCTTTCTCTGACAATCTTTTTCGAAAGATTTTTTTTTTTTTTTTTGTGGATTCGAAATTTTTTACGCCTAATATGCAGGTGCATTGGTGAATGTTATCATCCCACGCCCAAATCCAAGTGGAGAACCATCCCCAGGTGTCGGCAAGGTCCGTGTTGACCCTTTTTACCTTATTTTTTATTTTTTATTTATTTGATCGTTGTCTAGTTTTCATCTTATGTATCCTAGTCGCAAGTGAATGTATTATTTTGGTCACTTCTGCTAGTTGCTTGTTGACTGTAATTCTCTGGTGTGATTAGGTATTTCTCGAGTACTCAGACGTGGAGGGTTC